AGTTTTTCACTGAAGACAACCTCTGCTTTTAAACCACATACTCAGTCTAGGTGCACAAGTTTTCAAAAAGGATTACTTTAGCATCATTAGGCCTATGCAGAATAAATGAAGCTCAAAATTAGGGATGCACTGATACTATTACCGATGCCAAGTATTTGGGCAAGTACTCGTATTCGCCCAAATGCTCTAATGCCTAGGCTGATACCGGAGCTTCCAGTATCAGGAAGCCAGGCGGCGAGTCATTGCATGCTGCCCGGCTTCCTGATTGGTGGGGAAGCTGGCCAATCAGGAAGCCGGACGACAAGTCATTTCCCGCCCCCCGGCTTTATGATTGGCTAGAAAGCCAGCTTCATGCCGTGTGGCAAGTCTTTACACGTCGCCCAGCTTCCTGACTAATCAGGAAACCAGGTGGCAGGTCAATACATGCCGCCTGGCTTCCATAATGGGACTTGGTATCGGCAAGCACCGAAGAAAAAAAAATGGCGTTACTCGATACCGAAAAACCGCCATCGGTGAATCCCTAGTAATAAATGTATGTGCAGCTCCTATTCAGCACTCACATACAACATTTATTTTTTTTGAAACAAAACTTTAACACTAGATAAAAAAGTAAGAGTTTCCACTTTTCTGAATAATGACCGCACCCCACAGCAAAGCATGGAGCTCTGACAATTTCATCCGTTCTTCTTGTCTGACCTTGCTGAAGTGTCCATTTCAGCAATTGACAGTTAGGATTGAACTTCTTTATTGTCAGCTCCATGGAAAGCATCGGGTTTATAATATTTTGTTACAAAGATTGCATGCCAAGCTTCATGTAGTCCCTAGAGTGGACAGTAAACCTGAGAAATAGATGTGAAAATAGGAGCCGTCTCAGCTCTACACGTGCTTTCAGTCACAATGCGGCAGAGGTGCTGAATCAAAATGCATCATTGTGAGGGTGAAGGATACTGAAGTGCTGATATCTGCATTATATCAGATTTTATCAAGTGTTTTACATGCACAATGATGGAACCCATAGCATTAACCTGAAGTACTTATAAAGAGCTTTTTGATCAATGCGGAGGGAAAGTGTCAGTCACCCTGGATATGTACCATGTGATGGAGATTGGGACACCATTGCTATGAACAGAAAACATTGAAGATGGATCAAGTGGTCTTTTCTTTTTTCTTCATATCAACTCCTGAGAAATAGAGATATTCAAGTGTTGTACAGATCTGTGAGATTTTATTAGTGCCCACATCCAAGAAGCATGAAAAGCTTCCCATGCTAGGGTCTACAGAAATGGTTGCACCAAATCTGAACACTTGCAGGTTTTCTGACCTCCTGGATGAAGACGACAGAACTATGGCACATAACTAACATTAGTTAGACATAACTTTAAGGCCTTGTTCACATTGAGCATTTTGTAGCGTTTTTTCTGCCCTAAAAAAACACAAAAAATGTGCCCCCAAAAAATCAATTTCTAGAGCCCTGTTCACATCTGAGCATTTTGTCGCAAAAAGCAAAATGCCTGTCACTGGAGCTTGGACAGGTAAGTCCTTTACACATAGACTCAACAGGAACCGCTTGAAAACGTGTGTTTGCTGTTTTTGTGTACGTTTTACACGTCTTTGCTAATTAACGTCAATGAGCTAAAAATTGCTCACAAAAAAACGGGCAACTTGATTTATGTGCATAAACCGTGTGCAAAAACATGCATCACAAACGCGTGTAGAAATGCGCAAAAACACGTGACCCCTAGCCTAATGAAGAATCTCAGCTCTGTGTGATGATAGCTGCAACCTGGTAGCATGATCTATACACTTCACTCACATACTGTAGATGTAACAACACCCACTATGTAAACACTGTACTGCTCACGCTATTCTGACCCAAACCAGGTACATGGAATGCATTCTTCAGCCATCATACACCACCGCCATCAGTCATGGAATGCATTCTTCAGCCATCATACACCACCGCCATCAGTCCCGTCACCGCAGAACAGAAAGTCCAAGCCAGCACCGTCATGTCTCCTCTCTCTGTAGAACTGCAAGAAGGCTGACTTTGAAATAACACTCTGCAAAGCACAATCGGATCAAAATGCTCAACGCTCCATACACTATTAATGCACATAAATCTTTTTCCTTTTACCTTGATCTTTCATAATTCTGCTGGGTCATTATAAACAATATTTATAGCTAACACTTAAGTGTTTATGCGGATACAAGGACAGGCCAAGGCAAAACGCTAGAACTTACAATCCATACAAATGAAATACCAGTCCTTGCCATGTCTTGTTTGCCAAGTCAAGTCTAAAAAATGGAGTTGGCATAGTATGTCAGTAAGGCACATCCTTCCACGGTCACAGCGATGTAAGATTTGTGGAGAGGACCATCAGGCACACAGCACTGTAATATGGCATGAGGAGCGTGCCTGCTGCGAAGTGCTAGTTACACGGTTGTCCGAGTCACAAAGCAGGAACACATCAGTAACCAGTTAAAGAAGAACTCCAGGCAACATTATTCTTAAACCTTGTAACCACCAAGTGCTCGCTTTGGTCTAGGGAGGAAAATAAAATGGTTATACTCCCCTGAACCTCACTCGCTCCCTCTCCACTCCAGCAGTCCAAGGCCCTGCGAGTCATCACGTTCTATACAGTGTATGGAGACATTCCAGAGGAGACAGGCGGCAGGAACCGGTCTGGGAGCTGGCTCCCGAGTTCTGGTGAGTATAACCTTTTTGTTTTTCTCCCTAGACGGAAACTAGCACTTAACCCTTGCAGTGCGGGGATAGCCCCAGCGCAAGTTCTTCTTTAAGCCTCAATACAAGATCTGCACGCTTGCTCTAGGTCACTGAGAAAAAAAAATGAAGCCAAAAAAATGAAGCCACAGAAAGCCAAGTACAGGCTGTCCCCGGGTTACCAACAAGATAGGGTCTGTAGGTTTGTTCTTGTTGAATACTTACAAAAGTTGAATTTGTAAGTAAATTGAAACAGGTAAATTTTTTAAGCCCATTTTTTTTTTTTTTAGTATTGGATAGCATAGGGAAGAGCTAACCCACTGTAATGTTTGTTTTGCTCTGTGTGCCCCTGTTCAGAAGACTTCACCTCACTTTCTGTCCCTGTGACAATTGGATTTTGAACATTTTGGGTTGTCGTGGAAACAAGGATTGGTGATAAAACTTCAGTAGAGACACCTTTTTCCCATGAATACTCTTACAGCAGTGAATTTCCTTCCTAGGGGTAGATTTCCTCTCACTTCTGGTTGTCCCAAGGACAGGAAGTGAGATTAAATCTTTCTAATGAGGATACAGACAGCAGTAAAAACCTCACAGTGACCCGGAAGAGCCAACTTCCTGTAATGTATGTACAGTACTACAAACCAGACCCAAAAAAGGTGGACACTCCTCATCAGCAAGATTCTGGTAGCATTACAACTACCTCTGCTGTACAGTAATAGCCTCCGTTTGTACATAGGAGTCGTGTACAAGTCGATGTTTGCAACTCGGGGACTGCCTGTAAATAGAATTTTCAGGAAGCAAATGGCAGCCTGCATATTTCTATAGTGGAAGATTTCTCATGACTTCCTGTTCCAATTACCCTTCTAAAATTTGGGATTTCCTATTAACTGTAGACCGCAATAAAACCAGACGGGAGTTCTAACCTTCCCCCACTTCATTGGTCAGATACACTTTTAGTTGTATGTTCTTTACAACCTTTCTCTCCCCAGTCTAGTTGCTAGAATTGCTCTATTTTGCACTATCTTTGTCTCAAAGAATTATAATTACCATTATAAGGAAATTATGTTCAATTAGGCTACATGCAGATATGTAAAGAATTATGTTGTTGTCATGAGACTTGATGCCAATGACCTCCATCCAGCAGCTACTGGAATATCAGATGAGTGATTGTGTCGCTTGTGAATCACATAAGTGAGGGAACCACTTCCCCTAAGGCCCGGTTCACACCTGGGCGTTTTGTAGCGCGCTCCTACGCTCTGCAAAACGCTTATTTCCTATGGGTATGGTTCACACCTGGGCGTATTACAGGCCGTATGAACGTGCTACAAAACGATCTACGCCCAAAGAAGTACAGGAGCTTATTTGGGGCATATTTGCCGCGC